TAAAAAACATAAAAAACCGGGAGAACTATCTAGCAAAAAAGGAACTGGTCGACGAAAGGAATCCAAAAAAGTGAAAAGTAAGAAGCATCGAAAAAAGGAGGATGACAAGAAGCGTTCGCATCCTCGAGTTAGTAAGTCGAAGAAGCGCGAGAAGATCAAACACGGCAAACCGTAAGAACCATTCTATTCTTCTATTTATTTAAAGTAAAGCTCGAACAAATTGAAGTATGATTGCCTCTCCAATGAGAACCACCGCAGGGAACTGAGAACCTGTAACTCAACAATGTGGGGAAACCTTTTCTTTGATTGAAACTGTAGTGACTCTAATAATATTATTTTTATATTTTTCGCATATATTATTAGTCGTTTGTCTGCTTTCGAACCGAAATTCGAAATCCTATTCAGCATAGAAATGTGCCTATTCTTTCTTACAAAGAGACGGAATAACATTAAAAACTCTAGCCCTTTTACGTCAACGGATCCCATGCAAATACTACGGCTAAGAAAACTAGTCTGACAAACCAAACAATCTATGCCAGCTGGCAGAAATCCTTTGAGAAGCGGTCACTGTGAGAAATACAGGATCTGCGGAGGTTGAGGCAAAAAGTCCTTCTTGAGGAACGTAGTTGATGGGTCCTTCTCGGAAGACCTTCATAGAATATCCACTAGTGGGCAGTTCCTCTAAGATTTTAGACTCAAAATTTTTGCAACCAAATTTCCCTATAACTCCACCGTTATGGGATTGCATCATCGCCTTCGTGTGTAATTTCTTCTACTTGGGAAATCCCTCTGTCTGGTCTCTGTGAGTCCTACTCGTGACTTAAGAATTCTGCTAACTTAGGATGACCGTGAGTGGTGAAGTTTCGATGAGTATAATCCGAAGTTCTTCCATCGTAAAAAGTGCAATTTTCCACAGCCACCTACGATTGCTGAGATACTGTGATGCTTTTGAAGGACGACCACCTCTCGCCTTGCGCGACCTTTTAACTTTTGATAACCTTCTACTCTACTTGCCACCCCTATAACCATTGACAAAGCTGTACGCTATTTTCCACCGATGTGTCCTTTGTTAACCCCATTGTTTGTCAGCCGTACCAGCTGGATATAAATACCCGTTGCGGCGCTGATACGGGGCTCTTTGTGTTTTGCCTAATAAAGCTTCCACAAAGCCACAGTGTACAAGCCAACATACATAGCACCCCAAAAAGGGTAAACTTTAGGGAGCAACCAATAGGACTCGCTTCCTTCCAAATGGGGACACATAGGGCCAAAAATGAAGCGGTTTGGTCTCAGAGGCTAGCCTTTTCCACGAAACGCTATTGCTAAAGTAGATTGGTGTGACTGCCATAACATTGTATATAGTCAATGAGGCCAACTTGAAAGTACTCCTCCGGTAATCGTTCTCCTAGGTGTAGCCTAACGCCATAATACGGCCTGAGATTCGAACTTGCTAATCGTTCATCAACGCAGACGTAAATATATCAGAGAATATACTTACCAGGGAAGGATCCCAAGTCGAAGTGGCCATTTGAAATGAGACCTACACTGCTGGATGTGTTTTTGGATGCTGAGTTCAAATCCGTTTTCAAATTTGCCGAGCGTTTCTCCAAACGGAGTTATGAGGGTGGTTTCAGGGAGCTTAACATAGGAAAACTTAAATTAAGTAGATGTGTCTAGCTTCACAGCGGCGGCTTGGTATAGTGGTAAGCGTGACGACTCATGTGCGAGAGACTGGGGGTCCGGGTTTGACGGGGGGCTGCGTTTTTGCATTATATGGAATTTTTCCCTTAAGCGCTAGTAAATACTCTTATGGTGATTTTATCACGTTTTATGATATTTTGATGCTTGCCTTGTTAGTTATCCACATAAGTTATACTTTATCCTACCTATCTACCTGTTACCAGTGAGAGATTCTTCCGTGCGCAAAATTTGGAGCTCCGGGCAAGTAAAACGCGTATGATTAGCAATGATGATGCTAGAGTGGATGTTGATGCTAGATTGGGTGCGATGGTGCGTGGCAGCTCCAGACTCACCAACACCGGCACTGTTGATAGCGGACTCGTGGACATCATTCAAAGGCCAGAAAGCTATTCAGAGCGTCTTACCTCCATGAAAGCAGGTGAAGGGAATGACACCCTACTCAAGGCTATCACGAGACCAATACAGCCAAAAGAAGCTGATTTCTCATTTCCTTTTAAAAATATGGTGAAACGCATCACCTCATATGTGATTGACCTCCACTTTTGCGTGTACACACCCCACCATTCCCCCCATTCTTTGCTTACTATCGCTTGTCTACTGTCGGCTTGTACTGTGCTACTAGATTTGGGAAATTTCTCTTTTATTCCTACTTAACTACTCACCCGGGTGGTCTTGGGACGCCTACAAAATTCTTTTTCCTTCTGATTCATGTTGGCATGTGTGAAGCAATAGACTGTGACGGGTTTTTTTCATCGGTTGCTTCCATTGCGAGAAGCTTCTTTTTTTCAAGCACTTCGTGCTAGAGGATCACATCTGTTCATGAAGTGGCGAAAGTTATCCTACTGTGAATGTAGAATGCATGGGCGTGCGAGTAAAACTGAAGTATAACTTATGTGGATAAATAACAAGGCAAGCATCAAAAGGTTATAAAACGTGAAAAATCACCATAAGAGTACTTCCTAGTGCCTAAGGGAAAAATTCCATATAACGCAAAAACGCCGTCCCTCATCAAACCCGAACCCCAGTCTCTCGCACATGAAGCGCCCCGCCTACCACTATACCAAGCAGCCGTTGTGGAGAAAGACACAGCTACTTAATTTAAGTTTTCCTATGTTAAGCTCC